ACTCTGCAACTTGAGTCACAGTACACTTCCGGTTTTGGGGTAGTTAATTGGAGATAAGAGTCTCTGAAGGACTTTTCTGGCCAGGCTGGCTTAGAGTGACGATCCCCAGATCTCACCTTCTTGAGTAGCTAGGATTACAGAGTGAGTCACTCTCTCTGTCTCTGCTAAGCTATGTTATCTTTAACCAACCCAGAGGAGCCCCAGTTAATTTGGTTGATACTTCAAGTACTGCATCATTTGTTAAGGTTTTTCCTCTCTGTTAGACATTTAGAAAGTTTAAGGAAGAACTTAGCTACCTTGAGGAACAGTAGAAAGTGTCATTCTTATACCACAAATGTATACTTTTTGTTGTTGGTGATGGTGGTTGTGGGACTTGAACTCAGAGCCTAGGTACTATCCTTTAACTCCTTCAGCGCTAGGCTAGCACTCTACCACTTTGAGCCACAGCTCCACTTCCAGTTTTCTAGTGGTTAATTGGAGATAAGAGTCTAACGGACTTTCCTGCCCTGCTGGCTTTGAACTGTGAGCCTCAGATCTATCTCCTGAGTAGCTAGGATTACAGACATGAGGCACCAGTGCCTGGCTAGTTTTTGGCATCTTTTTTACCCTCTTCTTTCTTTCTTCTGTTTTCTGATTCTTCTCTGATAAGCAATCATGCTGGCCTTTTATTTTTACTTAAATAAGTTATCTGAAGCCGTCCTTTTCTAAGAATTTCTGAGAACAAATTGAGTACAGTGTACAGAATTTCATATGAACATTCCAGTGGCAAATGAGCCAGGACTACTACCTATTGAATGAAATAGGCAGTTTTGAAATACTGGCTAGGTCCTTGTACCTTTATAAAAATTATTTTTTAGGTTGGGGATGTAGCTCAGATAGTAGTAGAGGTCATGCTCAATTTGCTCCAGGCCCTGAGTTCAATCCCTATCATCTCCCAAAAAAAATTTTGCATATAGGGAATTAAGTTTCTGATCAGTATCTATCTTGTCATTTGACTTAGTTTTATCTAGGAACATGGGATATACATTTTTCCCCCCCAGGGCTGAGGACCAAACCCAGGGCAGGCGCCCTTCTGCTGGGCTAAACCCCCAGCCCCGGGATATACATTTTTAGACTTGTTGTTTCTCCAAATAAGAGGCTCTTTTGCTCTCTGAATAATTGCTTAAAATATGTCCCTATTAGAGATGTGCAATTATTTTGTATTAGTCTTTCCTACAAATATTAGAAATTTTTATTTGGGGAAAAAAATCAAAGATCCACTATTTAAACCAAATTATTAAGTAGATCTCTTTTATAGACTTTGCTCTATTTCATGTTTTGGGGGTTTGATTATAAAGATAAACTTAAAGGAAAAGAGTATTGAACAGTTGTGACTTACTAAGTGATTTACATTTATTTTGACATTAGTATCATAAATCTACTAATAGCCCTGTCTTTACACTGAGGGAACTGAAGCTGTGATGGATAAAAATCACATAGTGATTTAACTGTGATTTAAACATAGGTCCTTTAGACTATGAAGCTTATACATACTGCCTTTCTGAAAGACAAAATTGATTACTAACTGTTATCAGAGAACAGAATATGACTGCTGCTAGATAAGAACTATGGCAAAAGTACTGGCAGTTCAGAAAAAGATATCATGCCTTACGAAGGATCAGAAGAGATTTTGTGAGGGGGATTTAGTTTGCCTTTGAATTGGAAGGAAAGTCTTTAAGTTAGGTAAAGGAAAAATAGGAGCTAAATCATGTCTTGCCATTTTTATTACCAGAATGCTATCACATGAGCAAGACCACAAATGTACATAGTGTGTTTGAGAGTTTGCTGAGCCCTGTCTCAAGTTGAAGCTAAAATTTTGAGTTTCTCGTTTCTACCTTTGAGACTATAGGTTTGACTCAAGTTTGTAAAGATGATATGGAGCCAGGCAGTGGTGGCTCACTCCTATAATTCTAGCTTCTAGGGGCCAAGGAGGCCAGCTCAGGCAAAAATTTGAAGAAATCTCACCTCAACCAATAAAAAGCTGTGCATAGCTGGGAGCCAGTGGCTCACACCTCTAATCCTAGCTATTCAGGAGGCTGAGATCCGAGGATCACGGTTCAAAGCTAGCCCAGGCAGGAAAGTCCATGAGACTCTTTATCTCTAATCAACCACTCAGAAAACTGGAAGTGGCGCTGTGGCTCAAGTGGTAGAGTGCTTGCCTTGAACTGAAGACCTGAGAATAGTGTCCAGGCCCAGAGTTCAAGCCCCATGACCAACAAAACAAAAACAAAAAAACGCTGTGCATAGTGGTATATGTCTATTGTACCAGCTGTGTGGGAGTCTGACATTGGGAATATAATAGTCTAGGCAAGTCCAGATACAGTGATACACTCCTGTCATCCTAGATATGTCAGGAAGCATAAGTAGGGGGTTGTGATCCAGAACAGCTTGGACAAAAAAGTTCTCAGGACTCTCAAAAAACAAAACAACAAAAAACACAGAGCAGAAAACTGTGGCCCAAACATTAAAGCACCTAAAAAAAATTTTTTTTAAAGCACCTGCCTATCAAGAACATAGCTAGCCCTGGGTTCAAGCTCAGTCAAGCAAAACAAAGTGTGTGTGTGTGTGTGTGTGTGTGTGAGACAGAGAGGGCGGTCGAGGGAGGGAGAAAAAGGGAGAGGGAGAGAGAGCATATGCTACACTTGATAAAGTAACAAAATTTATAATTTCAGTGTATTAGCATCATCTCATTTGTCTTCTATCCCTCTACATTATATACACATGTGTGCGCACATATATGCTAGCCTGAAGTGGTAGGGTATCTTTCAAAATAAGTTGAACACAGTTGTACTTCAAATTGGAAATCATCCTGGAGGCTCTAGACATTGGTGGAAGAACATTCTTTGGGACAAAATGTCCTATTGTTCAATAAATGCCTCCTTATACAGGTGCCAGTGGCTCATATCTGTAACCTAGCTACTCAGGAAACTGAGATCTGAGGATCATGGTTCAAATCCAGCTTGGGCAGGAATGTCTGAGAGTCCTCTTCCAGACAAAAAGGCCAGAAATGGAGCTGTGGCTCAAGTGGTACAGTGGCAGCCTTGAGAAAAAAAGCTCAGAGACAGTGCCCATACCCTGAGTTCAAGCCCCAGTGCTAGCATACAAAATGTATATAAAACATAACTGCTTCCTAAATAAGATGAAATATTTATAAAAAGGAAAGAGATGATTAAGCGTGGGGAAACAATGAAGTGACTAGAAAGAAGATGGCATATATAAGAAAAACACATTCTATTTAAATTTTGAGTAAAGAGCTTATTGTAAAGAGAAGAAAAATCTAGGTTGATAGCCTTAAAGTAATAATATAGGCACGATGGAGACTCTTTCTCCCCTATTTCTTTTGGAAGAAGAAAATTAGATTCATATTTACTTAGAAGAGTTCTCTGTTTGAAGTCTTTTTATAGTCTACTGTGAGAGCAGCCTGTCTCAGTAACAATTTAACCAGCTGTTGGTTACTTGAATTTCCCTAAAACAAAGATAAGTGAATACAAGGCTAACTGCTTTTAGACAGCAGCAGTCCTTTCCAAAGTTATGTAGTCATTTTTATTAATAAGCAATAGGAATGGTTTCACATACCTAGGTAGCAGTGTGTCAGTCTGTGTGTACACATATGTGCTTCCCTTCTCCCAGCACTTTTAAAGTTGATGGCTTTGTCCTTGATTGTTCAGTATAATAGTTTGCAGATTCACTAAGAGAGCTTATGTAGTAATGCTTGCTTTATTTTTTTCTCTTCCATTCTTGTTTTATTTTTTACTTTTTTTCCTTTGTGATATGACATTTTCAGCTGATGTATTGAAAGCAAATCCTTCTAATTTGGAAGCCCTGATCACAAGAGTGAGTTTTTCTACTAGTGTCTTTAGCTGTATCTCTTTTTTTTGTGTGTGCGTGCGTGTGTCTTTCTACCCTTTCTTTCCCCTTCCCAATTCAAAAGAGTTTCAAAACAGGCTTCATAAATATTAGGTACGAAAATTCCTCTGTCTGTTGAACATCATACCTTTTTACAAAGCAATGTCCACTTTATATTGGGTCAAAGTCCTTTTCCGAAGCTGATGTAAAAACATAAACTAATGTATGTGTGTTTTTTTTTATATTACCTATTGTGTTAAATAATTTTAATCCTGTCTTCATTGCAGATAGGTATGTCTGGACTTTGTCACCAGTGTATTCTGGCACTGTTCTTTTCTTTTATCTTAAGGAAATGTATACAGCAGCTTTTGAGAATAAAAGACCTATTATCTGAATTTTCAAATCTTCAGCTTTATCTCTATTTTCCCTCTTTATCCTCTGGGTATTTCTCTCAGAACCATGAAGGAATAAAAGCTATTAATATTGTACTCTAATTTCGGTAGACTGACCAGATGAAAGTGGTCAAACTGATGAACTCTGAATGTGCTAGTATTGGAAGACCTCTAGGGTTTGTTAAATATGACAGGAAACATGCTGAAAAGAAACAACACCTTTTATGGTAAAATGAAAGTATGTTGTCTACTTGTTTTGATTTATATAACCTCCCCCATGAAAGCTGTACATTGCTTTTTAAGATCTTACATTGCAAATAATTTTCTGTGCTAGCCTAACCCCTTTCTGTTCTCTTTGGCCTGTGTTACTACAATTTATCTCATGCTCTGTTTGTCTAGTTTTGCATCTTGGAAGAACAGGTGATTAAATAGTCCCTTTTCTTTCTTCCCAATGTTCTAAAATTTGCTTTTTGCTTCTGACAACATTTTATTTTGTCCAATAAGGCAGATGACTTCTGTCCTAATTAGAAATGCAGATATTACACGTGTGTACCCAGAGTATTTAGCCATTGTGTTTTCAGTTACCATAAGAAAGTATGATAATGTGTTCTACACTAGTACCATAACCATTGGTTGAGAGTAAATAGTTTAAAGGCTTTGTCTTTAAAATCCCCAAGATACTCTAAATCACCTACCCTGTTTTCCTTTCTTTCCGTTACCCAGAGATTAAAAGATCTCAAGCAGAGGGAGTTTGCCCGAAATGTTTCTTCAAGATCTCGCAAAGATGAAAAGAAACAAGAAAAAGCCCTTCGGCGGCTCCATGAGTTGGCAGAGCAGAGAAAACAAGCTGAATGGTAAAGAAAGTTTCTTCTAGGGTGTTCTAAAGATAATTATAATGCTTTTAAGACTTAAAGCTATAGATTTAAGATGATGATTTAACATTTAAATTGAGGTTTAAAAATCATAAGTCTTAATATATTTTTAAGCCTTAAAATTTTTAAGCTGCATGTGGTAACACTCACCTGTAATTCTAGCTATTCAGGAAGCAGAGGCATTGAGAACTTTGAATTGTAGGTCAGCCTACACAAACTTAGCAAGACCTTAACTTAGAATGCACAAGGTCTAGAGGCATGATTTGTTAGTATAAGACCTACCATTCAGTCTTTTAGTAGATTCTTCTTTTAAACTAAAAGTATATTCATATTTGGAATATAAGATACTGTTGTGTGCCCTTTGAGGACATGTTCTAGGTGACATGGTCAAATTACAGGTAAGCCTCTACCTTAGTTTCCTTATCTATAAGACTAGTAAGAGGATCTGGGAAGGTGGCTCAGTGGTAGAGTACTTGCGTCACATGCATGAGGCCCTGGGTTTGATTCCTTAGCACCACATAAACAGAAAAAGCCAGAAGTGGTGCTGTAGCTCAAGTTGTAGAGTGCTAGCCTTGAGCTGAAGAGCTGAGGGACAGTGCCCAGGCCCAGAGTTCAGGTCTCATGACTGATTTAAAAAAAAAAAAAGACTAATAAGGGCCAGGCGCTGGTGGCTCAGGCCTGTCATCCTAGCTTCTCAGGAAGCTGATCTGAGGATCACAGTTCAAAGCCAGCCTAAGCAGGAAAGCCCATGAGACTCTTATTGCCAATAAAACACCAGGAAACTGAAAGTGGCACTGTGGCTCAAGTGGTAGAGCACTTGCCTTGAGCTGAACTGCTGAGGGACAGTACCCAGCCCATAGTTCAAGTCTCACAATCAACAGGAAAAAAAAAAGACTAATAAAGATTTACTTATAGTTGTTATAAAAAGTGACTGAGTTATTATATCAGAAGTACTCAAAGCTGGGCATTGGTGGCTCATGCATATAATCCTAGCTAATATGGAAACAGATCTAGGGATCATGATTCAAAACCAGGCTGGATAGAAAAGTCCATAAAACTCTTTATCTTTCATTAGCCACTAGAAACCAGAAATGGAGCTGTGGCTCAAGTGGTAGAAAAAGCCCCCCAACAAAAGCCCAGGCCCTGAGTTCAAGCCCCACAACCAACAAAAAAAAAAGTATTCAAAAGAATACCTAGCATATCAGACAAGATTAAAAAATGATATCACAACTGGCCTGCCAGTGGTTTACCTATACTACTAGCTTCTCAAGAGGTTGATGTCTATTTGAGAATCATAGTTCCAACCAGTCCAGGCAGATAAATCTAAGAAGCTCTTTATCTCCAGTTAACAAAAAAAAAACTAGAAGTTGAGGCATGGCTCAGTTGGTAGAGTGCCAGCAATGAGTGGCAAAATGAACAGAAAAAAACTGAGTTGAGATTCAGAGGCTCTCAGTTAAAGCCTGGCATTAAAAAAAAAAAAAAAAAGCAAGAAAGATGTAATGTCACTACTCTCTAACACTTCATTTGTAGAAAAGTGCAGTATTCTATCCAGAAAGTTCTGGGATATACACTATACGCTTAGTACTAAATACTCTAAAACCAAATTCTATCCATTTATTTCTCATAGTTTCTTGCCTTCTTGAATGTTCTAAATGTTCTTTCATAGTTATTACTGATTACCACATTTTTAGCTGATATTTAGTCTTAGACAAATTTACCTAACCTAAGGCACTAAATCTTTGCCCCTTTGAAGCTCACTGCAAGTTTTATGTGATATGTGCTTCAATCAGAAAGGAAAAAAAAAAAAGTGAGGTTCCTGGTTTTTCAGTGGCCACCAAGACCAAGAGGACACTAGATTTAGTACAAAGAGAAACTATGAAGACATGTATAAGTGGCATACCTGTAATCTCAGCACTCAGGAGGTTGGAAACTTCAAAGCCAGTCTAGGCTACATAGCTAGGCCCTATCTGAGAGAAAGAGAGAAAGGAAAGGAGGGGGGATAGAGGTGAAGAGGGAGAGACTAGACAGAAAGACTATGATTGTGGCTTTAAAAAAAATTGCTGAGGGCTGGGAATGTGGCTTAGTGGTCGAGTGCTTGCCTAGTATGCATGAAGCCCTGGGTTCAATTCCTCATTACCACATAAATAGAAAAAGCAGGAAGTGGCACAATGGCTCAAGTGGTAGAGTGCTAGCCTTGAGCAAAAGAAGCTCAGGGACAGTGTCCATGTCTTGAGTTCAAGCCCCCAAGACTGGTCAAAAAAAAATTTTTTTTCTTCTGAGATGTCAGGAACTGGTGTGTCATATTTGTTATCCTAGCTACTCAGGAGGCTGAGATCTGAGGATCATAGTTAGAAGCCAGCCTCTGCCAGAAAACACACACACACACACACACACACACACGTGTAGAGCTGTGGCTTAAGTGGTAGGATGCCAGCATTGAGCAAGGACAACCCCGAGAAACACACACACACACACACGTGTGTAGAGCTGTGGCTTAAGTGGTAGAATGCCAGCATTGAGCAACCCCGAGAAACACACACACACGCACGCACGCACGCGTAGAGCTGTGGCTTAAGTGGTAGAATGCCAGCATTGAGCAAGGACAACCCCAAGGCCCTAGTTGGAGCAAGTACACTAGGCCATTTTTCTAGTTCATATTCTAATAAGTGTTTTTTTTTCACTGGTAAGTTTCAGTTCTCAGTTTTATAAGTGAATAATTAAAAGATTACCAAGTAGGGCTAAGGGTGTAGGCTTAGTGGTAGTAGACGACTTGCTTTGTTTCTGGAGTTCTTTTTTTTT